TGCCCAGTGCTGCATGTGTCTGTGTTTGGGGTGTTTAAACCCATCTGTTGCTGTTGTCATTAAGTACTGTCCAGTAGCAATCCTGTATAGGCCCTTCCAGTTGTTGAGTGCCTAGAGTCGGTTCCAACCCATAGCAACCCTTTAAGGGTTACAGAGGAGCGACTGGTGAATTTGAACCTCCGATCTCGTGGTTCAAACCAACCTTGCGAGTGACCTTCTATAGGATTTGCAAAGCTGTGGGATCAAAAAGCCTCATCTTTCTTCCATATGACTCAAACCACCGACATTGTCATTTGTAGTCCACTGTTTATCTTTTTTTTTTAAGTTTTTGTTGTGAATTGAGTGAAAGTTTACAGGTCAGATCATCAGTTTTACATTCAACAAATCATATACTTTGTTTTGTTACAATGATTATAATCCCTTCCATGTACCATCAGTTAACAGTATTTCTCTCTATTCATTTAAGCTCTTTTTTACTTTTTATACACACTCAGGCATATATAATAATTTACATTACCAAAGGGCACATTCTGCAAACCTGCCTCCTGGCCACCAGCTCTCAGTCCCTCTCTTTCCATGAATTTAGAGTCCTCAGCTGCTCCCTCTCTCCATGTCCCCATCTCTGCTCCACTGTTTATCTTACAGAACCACTTACTAAGGGGAAATAAGCAAAGATGAGCTCTGTTTTACCTTGGTGGTGGTTATGTGCCATGGAGCTGGTTCCGACTCATAGCGACCCTGTACAGGGTTTCCAAGGCTGTAAATCTTTATGGGAACAGAAAGCCTCATCTTTCTCCTGCGGAACTGCTGGTAGTTTCGAACTACTGACCTTGAGATTAGCAGCCCGTCTTGTAACCACTATGTAACCAGAGCTACCAAATAAACCTTATGGGATCTCAGACTTTATTTGGATGCTAAAGGACACATTCCTGATGTAGGACTGTAGTATCAGCACTGGACTGTGAACCATAAGGTCAGCAGTTCAAACCCACCAGCTGCTCCTTAGAAACCATATACAGGGTCACTATGAGTCAGAAGCTACTGGATGGCACTTAACAACACCTGTATATACCTAGGTGTGTAATTGCTGGGTTATATGCTAATTTTATGTTTCCAAAGAGTGGCTGGTGAGCTTGGCCCACCGACCTGGCAGTTCAAACCAACTTTGCAGTCCAAACCAATTTTGTAGTACAGCGTGTCACCCCACACCACCACACCAGGACTTCCCAATAAAGATTATAGCCTTGGAAACCAGTGTGGCAATTCTATTCTGTCAGTTTTACTCTGTCCAATAGGGCCACCTGGTGGCAAAGTGGGTTAAGCACTGGGCTACTAACGGAAAGGTCGGCAGTTTGAATCCACCAGCTGCTCCAGTGAGAAAGAGGAGCCTTTCTGCTCCCATAAAGATTTAGAGTCTCGGAAACCCTATACAGGGTCACTGTGAATAGGAACCGACTTGGCACACAATCACCACCATTACACGGTTACTAGGCGTCCTGGTGTAGTGCTGTAGGATGAGCAGTTCATACCCACTAGCTGCTCCTCGGAAACCCTACACAGGGTCCCTTATGAGTCCAACTTGATGGCACTAACAACATATGAGTCTGAATTGACTGTATGACAATGGATTTGTATTGGTTAAATGACAGGTGATATTGAGCATCCTTTTGTATGTGATTTGCTGTGTGCTCTTGTCATCCTTAGTGAAATGTATTCAAGTCCTTTGCCCATTGTTTATCTCTTTTTGTTGTTGTTTTTGCATTATTGTTGTTGTTGTGATATGCCGTGGAGTTGGTTCCGACTCATAGCGAGTCTGTAAATCTTTACAGGAGCAGAAAGCCTCATAGGAATTTTCAAAAATATATTATGGTTATTAGTTAATCCCGTATCAGATAAATGGTTCCCAAGTATTTTTTCCCATTCTTTAAGCTATTTCTTCAATATATTAATACAGTGATTTAGTGCATAAAAGTTTTGATGAAGTACAATTTCTATTTTGTCTTTTGTCACTCTGTCCATTTAAAAATTTTATTGTCTTTTGTTATTTATAGGATGTCTCTATATAGTCTAGATATTAAACCCTTACCAAACCCAGCAAAACAAACCCACTGATGTTGAGTTTATTCCAAATCATAGTGACCCTACATACGGGTGCTAAGACTGTTAAATTGTTTTGGGAGCAGACAGCCTCATCTTTCTCCCTCAGAGCAGCTTCTGGGTTTGAACTGCCAATCTTGCTGTTAGCAGCCTAATGCCTAAACCACAGCACCACCAGAACTGCTTAAACCCGGACTATATGATTTCCAAAAATTTTGTCCCATTCTGTGAGTTGTCTCTTTCTTCTTTTGATACTGTCCTTTGATGCATAAGTTTTAAACTTTCTGTGAAGGCCAATTTGTCTTTTGTCTCCAGTGCCTTTGTTATATTTAAGAACCCATTTCTGAATCAAATACCATGAAGATTTGCTCCTATATTTTGAGAGTTTTATAGTTTAGATTTTCTAAATTTAATGCTGGATGAACTCTAAATTGATTTTTATATATGTTATATGGTAAGAGTCCAACTTCATCCTTTTACATGTGGCTATCTAGTTGTCCTGGAGTCTCCTGGTGTGGCGCTGTAGGACTGCTAACCTCGAGGCAGGCAGTTCAAATCCACCAGCCACTCCTTGGAATTCCTGTGTTGTTGTTAAGTGCTGTGGAGTTGGTTCTGACTCATAGCAAGCCTGTATGGGGTTTTTGAGAAGTGGCTGGTGAGTCTAAACTGCTGACCTTGTGATTCAAACCAACCTTGTGGACTAGTGGTTATCCTACAGTGACACACCACGGGAGTCGGAACCGACTTGAAGGTACTTAACAACAAAAATTTAGCTTTCCTACCACTATGAGGAGGCTTTAAAAAGTTCGTGGAAAAATAATAAAAAAGAGAATGGAATTTTTTCCATACTTGTTTTAGGGACTGACCTTTCCCCATCGAATGGTGTTGACACCCTTGTTGAAAATCAGTTGGCCATGGATATTAGGGCTTATTTCTGGGCTCTTCTTCTTCACTGATGCATATGTGTATTTTTATGCCAGTACTTCACTATTTTGATTACTGTGTTTGTTGTTGTTAAGTGCCATTGGGATGGTTCTGACTCATAGCCACCCTGCATAGGGTTTTTCCAAGGCTTTATCTTTGCGGCAGCATAAAGCCTCATCTTTCTCCTGTGGAATGGCTAGTGTGCTTGAATCGCGGACCTGATGGCTTACAGTCCAGGGCTTATCCAGTGAAATCACTGCACTTTGAATTAGGAGCCCTGGTAATACAGTGGTTATGTGTGGGGCTGCTAACCAAAAGATCAAGAGTTCAAATTTGCCAGCCTCCTCCACAGAAGAGAGATGAGCGTTTCTGATCCTGTAAAGATCAAAAGCCTCTGAATTCCTATACAGGATCATCATGAGTTGGCTGACTTGATGGCATACTACCAATAATAACAACTTTGAATTATATTTTGAAACTGGAATGTGTGACTCTTTCACCTTCATTCTTCCTTTTCAGGATTGTTTTGGCTATTCAGTGCTCCATGAAATCATTGGGATTTTGATAGGAAATTACTTTGGGAAGTATTGCCTACTTAATATTAAGTCTTCCCATCTATGAAAGGAGTCCTGGTGTGGCACCATAGGATAAGCACTGGTCTGCAAGGTCAGTTTGAACCGCAAGATTGGTGGTTCAAACTCACCAGCCGCTTCTTGGAAACCCTACACAGAGTTGCTATGAGTCGGACCTGATTGTTGGCTCTTAATAACAATAACATTGTAAGAAAAAAAGAATAGGAGTTGAAATTGGCAGAGAGTATGGGTAAGTCCCATCAAGACAAGATGGGAGAAACTAGGTTATGTTACAAACACTGGAAACAACCCATTAGTGAGCAATTGGTGGCAAAGACAAAAGGAGAGAATAACAAGATGCAGTAATGTTATCAGCTATGGAATCCCAACTATGTCTGGGACTGCCCATTGAAAGGAGGATTGCTCATTGTCCTCTGCTTTAAGAAGGGTAAGATGTGTGCATAGATATGTTGTTGTTATGTGCCATGGAGTCGGTCCCGATTCATAGCGACTCTGTACAGGGTTTCCGAGGCTGTAAATCTTTACGGGAGCAGAAATCCTCATCATTCTCCCGCGGAACAGCTGGTGGTTTTGAACTGCTGACCTTGTGGTTCGCAGCCCCATTAGTAACCACTACACTACCAGAGCTCCTTATAGATTGGTTAGGTTTATACATTTGGTGGTAGTATGATCAGGAAGGTCCCATGTGGTTACTTGTATTTTCTCAGTGCGTTTCAAGAAAATAGTAAGAGGATGTATCTCAGAGAATGCAGAAATCGTAAAACAAAGGATTGCTGAGTTTGGGCAACTGCAAATGGTTCTGTTCAAACGAAGGGTGGATGTTGGGCAGGTACATTTAGTTTACAACATCCCCGTTTTCCAAGCCCAAGTCCTGGTGTGGCACTGTAGGATAAGCACTGAACTGCTAATTGCAGGGTCAATGGTTCAAACCCACCAGCCATTCCTTGGAAATCCTGTAAAGGATCGCTGTATAAGTTGGAACCCACTCCGCGGAGCCTAACAACAACATGGCCAAAGAGCGAGTCCTGGTGTGGCTCTGTAGGATAAGCAATGGACTGCTAACTGCAAGATTAGATGTTCAAACCTACCAGGCACTCCTTCGTCGCTATGAGTTGGAACCGACTCCACGGCAATTAACAACAATACCACGGCTGAGAAGAACAGCCAGTTTCTAGGCCTCCACCACGCAGGTGTTGCACTACACGTGGAACGCACTAGCGAGCTGAAAGAGTTCTGCGCAAGTCACTTAGGATCCTTTGGTGAGCTTGGGATCTGCGCATGCGTGCAACGCAGCTCGCGCTTTTTTTTTTTTTTTTCTATTTTCCCCCACGTTCCCGGTTCTTTGCCGCTCCCGCTCCCCGCAACTTTCCCCAGCGACAGTTTGCGGTCCCCCGGCTCAGGATGGAGCAGCTGGACGAAGTGGAGCTGCTGCTGGAGAAGAGTTTCTGGGAGGAGGCAGAGCCACCGGCCGAGACGTGAGCGGAGCGGGCAGAGGGCCTGGGAATAAAGCGGGACATTCAAAATGAAGAAGCGGGACATTCAAAATGAAGGGTTTTCTTCGGCCCACATTGAGTTCACAGACTCTCTGGCCCAGCACTTCATTCTTTGCTTATTTTAGGGAGTCTCGGCCAACTTACTCTGTAAGGTCGCTGTTAAGTCCAAACGTACTCGATTGCCACAGGTGTTGTTGTTTTCCCTCCGGCCACCTTAAGAGTCTTCAATAAATTTCAACTGCTAGATGCTTTTCTCCGTGTTCCTAGTTGGAGAAACCCATCCTAGAGTGGGAGGACGCTACACCCTCAGGGCAGGGTGAACGAGCAGGGGAACCTGATCCACTAAAGATGCGGAATTATTTTCAGTAATAATGACAGTGCTGATTATTGCTGAGGGACATTTGCGGTTTGCTTGTTGATTAGCAATAACCTTCGATAGATCTTTAAAGTATCACAGCTGTCCTTGGGCGTTACAATAATAGAACCTAGGGTTGGATGACAAAATCATTTTAAAGATGAAGTGAAAGACATTTGGTATTGTTCTAATTGAACAAAATTGTTGTAGGTTTAAAGATGACTTTGTGGGATGGTTTTGGCTCAAAATTTAAAGATTATCTCAGGTTAATAGATTCGGGAGTTTCTGTAATCTCAGTGGGTCCAGTAAGTCTGGATTCCATAGGAATTTGAAATTCAGTCCCCCTTTTTAAAGTTTTGATCAAGATCCTTTGAGTCCTTGATCACAATGTTCAATAATGATGTTAAGTGCTGTCAGGTGGATTCCAACTCCTAGTGACCCTGTATAGAGTTATCGAGGAGTGGCTGATGGGTTTGAACTGCCATCTTGTGGTTAGCAGCTCAGTGCTTATCCTTCACTTCCATACCAGGACTCATCAGTATTGGTTGTTGTTGTTGTTAAATACCATGGAGTCGGTTCCCACTCATAGTGACCCTGCACAGGGTTTCCAAGGCTGTAAATCTTTATGGGAACAGAGAGCCTCATCTTTCTTCTGCGGAACAGCTGGTAGTTTCAAACTTCTGACTTTGAGGTTCACAGCCAGACTCATAACCATCATGTTATCAGTAGTGGTTGGTGGTTGTTAAATGCCCTTGAATCAGTTACTACTCCGAGCTACCCTATGTAGGGTTTCTAATGAGTGGCTGGTGAGTTTGAACCACCTGCAGTTAGCAATCCAGGGCTTATCCTACAGCATTGTGCTAAAATAGTTTTTGTATGTGTATGCTTTAGATTTCAGAAGAAAGTGGAAGCTTCTAAAACTGTGCTGAGCCGAGGAATGGATAACCGGTACCTGGTTGTAGCTGTCAGTATTGTACAGAATGAAGAGGGAAGTCAGGAAAAACATCTAACCATTACTACTTGCCAATCACTGGAACATAAAGAACTATGCATCCTTAGGAATGACTGGTAAGTTTTGTGACTTTGAGCACTGACTTAGCAAAATCTTAAGGGTATCATGTTAAAATCCATCTCATTGCCTCTGACTCTGGATTGTGTATGGAAATGGTACCTGTTATCCCAATATCTCAAGCCATTGATTTCACAACTCATTTGGTTTTTATGGTCGTTTGAAAGTCATCTGAGAGTAAAGTGACGAATTAATTCAGAAGAGTACAGCCTGGTATTAAAATTTTAAAAGACCCATAAATGTAGAAATATTTATTTTTTCCTTCCCATAAAAGCCTCCTATGTTAAATTGTGTATTTCTTCTTTCACTCTCCTTATTTGCAGGTGTTCTGTTCTAGTAGAGCCAGGGGACATCATTCATTTGGAAGGAGACTGCACATCTGACACGTGGATAATTGATAAAGATTCGGGGTATTTAGTTCTGTATCCAGACATGCTGATTTCTGGCACAAGTGTAGCCAGTAGTATTCGATGTATGAGAAGAGCTGTTCTGAGTGAAACTTTTAGGGTAAGTCCTATTAAGAGCTAATGTTTATACAGGTTTACAAGAACACTGTTCCTTTTCGTATTTCATTCAATCCACTCAACAGTCCTGTGAGGTAGATAGTATTCATGGAACGCGTTTAAAAAAAACAAAACCTTTTATTGTGAATTGAGTGAAGGTTTGCAGAGAAGATCATCAGTTTTACTTTCAGCAAATCATGTGCTTTGTTTCTTCTCAGTGATTACACTCACCTGCATACAACAACAGTTATCTCTTTTCCTCCCTGTTCTCATCCCTTTTCAGTTTTGTCCATAGGTAACTGTTGCCCTGTTGATCTTGAATGGTTGACCATTCCATGGTGAGCATATATCTTCCTAGTGTTGTTGTCCCACCTATAAGCCTTTGCACTGCGTGGCTGGAAATTAGACCAGAATGATGACAGAGGACCATAGTCTCAGATTCCCCAGTCTTTTTGACTAGTAAACCTGGTCTTTTTTAAAAAAATAATTTTGAGTTTTGTTCCACATTTTCTGCCACTCTATCCAGGACCTTCTAATAGGACCCCTTTCAGAGCTGTTTGCAGGGGTAGCCAGGTATCTCATTCTGGTCTCAGAGTCATGGTGACTGATGTTCACCTGGTCCACTTGTCCATTGCACTAGATGATTCCAAGCATCTTCAATTTTCATCATCCTGCTTTCTTCTGGATATGGAGAGGTCAGTAGTTGTACCGTAGATGACCACTCAGTAGCTTCTAAGACCCTAGACACTACTCAACCAAAGAAGGCTGTAGACTGTTTTCTTTGTGGACTGTGTGATGCCAGTTGATGATGGTGTCCCCTGAGACTATGGTTCTCAGCCCCCTGGCCCAGAAACTCATTGCCTTAAGATATTTGATTATATCTAATAAATTGTCATCATTTTGCACCCTGTTTGCTCCACTACGTGCTCCAAAAAGAAATAGTCAGTAGTCAGCCATTTCAAGAAGTAACATATGATCAAGAGCCAATGATACTGAAGGAATAAGTCCAAGGTACATTGACGGCGTTGGCAAACACAAGGCGCTGAGAATTGATGGAATACAATTTGAAATCTTTCAGAAAACTGGAGGTACCCACTCATCTATACTAAGAAATTTGAAAACCAGCTCCCTGGCCAATGGACTGGAAGAGATCCATATTTGTACCCATTCCAAAGAGAGATGACCCCATGGCATGTGGAAATCATCAGACAATATCATTACTATCTCATGCAAGTTAAATTTTGCTAATGATAATACAAAAATGGCTGCAACCATACATTGACAGAGAACTTCCAGAGGTTCAAACCAGTTTCAGAAAAAGGATATGGAAGGAGGAATCTCGTTGCTAACGTCAGATGGATCTTGGCTGAAAGCAGAGAGTGCCAGAAAGATGTTTACCTGTGCTTTATTGACTATGCAAATGCTTTCAATTGTGCGGATCATGACAGGTTATGTGGAGAATGAGTATTCCAGAGCACTTTAATTGTGCTCATGAGGAAAGTGTGCATAGACCAAGAGGCAGTTGTTCAGACAGAACAAGGGAACACCAAATAGTTTAAGATTAGGAGAGGTATGTGCCAGAGTTGTATTCTTTCACCATACTTACTCAGTCTGTATGCTGAGCAAATAATCTGAGAAGCTGGGTTATGGGGAGGAAAATGTGGCATCAGGATTGGAGGAAGACTCATTAAACACCCTGTGATATGCAGATAATACAACCTTGCTTGTTGAAAGTGAAGCACATCAAAGACTACAACCTTCAGTATGGGTTGCATCTCAGTGTAAAGAAAACAAAAATTCTCACCACTGATCTAATAGACAACATCCATATAAATGGAGAAAAGATTGTTGTCAAAGACTTCATTTTGCTCTGATCAATCATCAATACTTATGGAAACAGCAGTCAAGAAATCCAGTGATGTATTGCATTAGGCACATGTGCTGCACAAGACTGCTTCAAAGATGTCTGTTTGTGGACTAAGATGCTCCTGACCTAAGCTGTGGTATTTTCAATAACCTCATATGCATGATGCATGTGAAAGCTGGACAATGAGTAAGGAAGACCGTAGAAGAATTGATGCATTTGAGTTATGATGTTGGGGGAGAATATTGAAAGTACCATGGACTGCCGATCTGTGTTGAAAGAAGTATAGTCAGAGTGCTCCATGGAAGCCAGGATGGCCAGACTTCGTCCCTCATACTTTGGACATCTTATCAGGTGGGATCAGTCCTTGGAGAAGGATATCATGTTTGGTAAAGTGGAGAGTCAGAGAAAAAAGGAAGACCCCAACGAGATAGATTGGCACAGAGACAGCAGTAATGGGCTCAAATGTACTAATGACTGAGGTTGGTGCAGGACTGGGCAGTGTTTTGTTCTGTTGTGCATCGCGTTGCTCTGAGTTGGTACTGACTTAATGGCACTTAGCAACAACAGTAATGCTCCTTTACTTTCATAAGTGATTTTGCGTCAAAGGTAAATACCAACGTACAAATATCCTCTTTCAAACCCTTATATATTTGCATGAATCAGTCCCATTTTTATAGCTGAGGAAAATCAGGTTCACAGAGGTTAAGCAACTTGTCCAAAGTCACATACCTAGTCAGTAGCGGTGTTGGGATTCAGCACTAGGTTCCTGAGTTCTTTCGATCTTACTGAACTTAATATAATAATTCTAAGCGTGAAAATTAATTTAAAGGATAATTTTGAAATCTTGCATACATCTGGGCAATTTTAAACTTCACTTAATCACCCACACACACAAAAATAAATGTAAAATTCTTCTTTAAAAAAGTTATTATGAAGCATTTCAAACAAAGAGGTCATTGTAATGAACCCTCTGATCAATCATCAATACTTATGGAAACAGCAGTCAAGAAATCCAGTGATGTATTGCATTAAGCACATGTGCTGCACAAGACTGCTTCAAAGATGTCTGTTTGTGGACTAGGATGCTCCTGACCTAAGCCGTGGTAACCACCACCTAGGTTAAGTAGCCAACTCTGTGCTGCTTTCCGACATTATAGCTCACCAGAAGTAAAGGTTAACTGAGGACCCTTGTTGGTTTTGCTTCCCTGGTAGTCTCCAACAGCTGAGGACATTTTAAAAACAAGTGTAATGCTTTGTTTTAGCCAACAAGCCTAACAGTAATTGTTTTAAATTAATCTAATGCCCAGTGTTTAATGTCTTTTCTCAAAAGTATCTTCTTATTAAATTGGTTTGCTTGGGTCAGTAAACAAGCTCCAGTCTGACATTTGGTTGATATACCTTTTTATTATTGTTGTTAAGTGCCATGGAGTTGCTTCCAAATCATAGCTACCTTGTATAGGGTTTCTGAAGAGCGGCTGGCGGGTTTGAACTGCTGACCTTCAGGTTAGCAGTTCACAGCACCGCACTGGGATTCCATGTATCTCATAAGTTGCTTTTATTTTCATTCTACCTTCTATCCATCCCTTTTGTTTTAGTGCCATTTTTTGTTGAAGAACTTGGGTTATTTGTTTAAAGGTACTCACTTACTCCCAATTTTTAAAAATTGTTATTGCACAGTGTTTATGTAGAAAACTGAAAAAAATCATACTGAACTAAAAGGTCAAGTTCATCAAATTGTATCAGGTCACTCTTTTTTTTTTTTTCCTCTTCTTTCTTATCCTGGTTGAGTTTTGATTATCCATTCATCAGGTCCTGGTCACGTGGGTACCATCAGCAGGTGTGGGTGTACCTGTGCGTATGCCCTCTCTTCCTATCAGCTGGTAGCTTCCCTCTTCACTCTAGTCCTCTGTGGCCACGCCGCTGACT